TGCTCACTTGGACCACATAATTAATGCTGATAACTGGACCAACCACTGACTAAAACGAACTTAAAGTTTTAACTAAACTAATTAAGGTCTCCTTTACACATCAATAAATATATATAAATATTTCTGCTATTTTATATGTTTTTTATACAAGTAATTGAACAAGCAGTAAATGAAATCAGAAGGATTTGAGAGAATTAAGATAGAAAAGTCAGCACATGAAAGCATAATTCACCTACTAAATACGTTAAAAGCAGTTTTCATGACTAATTGAATGGTAGATATATAGATGGATGGTGTGTTTTGTTTCTGCTACGGATTGGTCACATGCAACCACTGCTACCAACACAATCAAATTGCCTGCGCAAGTTATTCTTATTTTGCATCAACTTGTTGAACATTTGGCTGCTGACCTAACCCTGTTCTCTTGTTTCTTTATCCTCCAAGGACCAACGCCAAATCCCGAGTTGGGCAAAGGTTTAGAATTTTGCGTTTCAATCCCCGAGCAAAAAATACCTTATAATTCTCACAACTGAGCCAACTAGAAACAGTATAGGACCTAGCCACAAATTAAACCTGTTAATTAAGCCTTGCTATATATATATATATATATATATATATGTTTCTCCTTGATTTAACTGATCAATTTGTAGAAATTAAGAGAATTACTTTCTGCGTCAAAGCCAATATATATCACGCTTTTTCAGTCTTTTGTTCAGAGTAAAGGCCGAAACAGATAGCCATACCATATCTGCAATTATCATTTATGAAGTATTCAACGATCCAAGGTTCTGTCATCTCTGACGAACTCGAGATGCTTCCATAGTTATAACTCATTTTAAGCTGCTTATGTTCTATCTGTGTAGTTATCTATATGTAAAGTTCTAAACAATATTGTTGCAGCCTTTTCTTCAGTACTGTAAATATGCAGCGAACTGATAATACTCAAAATATAAGCTTTTTGCCAGAGAAAAAGCTACCATTAGTGTCTCTTTGAGCTACAATGCATTATCACTGCCAGCCTACATTAACTTATTGCTTCTTTGTCACGATAGTCAGCGCATGGACATTATAAATAGATGGAGACTTTTGGATTGAAATGACATTATTTAAAAATTGTATAATAATATAACCCGACAAAATTAGCATCCTAACTCTTTATCCTATAGTCGAAATTCACTACATTAACGATATAAAAATATTATTATCGTATTAGGTTACAATATTTATTATTTTTCTTTTAAATATAACTAGAGTGAGTTAGATTCTAAGCCCTAATCTTCGAATCTTTCGACCTACTGTCTCGTATTTTGACTATCTGTGTGTGAACCTTTTGCTCAAATTTCTGCAACAAGATGACATATTGCATATGAAAGGATGATGAAGTGCATGTTGCTTAGGTTTATATTAGCTCAAATGATCCGGGTCTCATGCACAAGATCACAAATAACTAATACATATATACATAAAAGGATATATAAAACATTCAGATTTTCTATGTTTTTTTTTTTTTTTTTCTTTTATAAGAATGCACAAATATTTAAAGCTCTACCAGCTACCATTGAATGCCTATACTACTTATCTTTGTATGTTTAACATTAGACGTGCAATATTCCCAATCTTATATCGGACCTTCATGCTTGAGAGATAAATAAGTTGAAAAACATTGTAAATGAAATATGAGAGAGACACGCTTGGATTAGGGGCACAACTAAATAAACTAGATTTTGGTGGTCATTGTTAGAGTTGCACATAGAATAGGTACGCTCAAACATATTGGGTTATAAAATGAGGTAATCCTCTCATTCAACAAAGCTTTATTGGGTGAGGAGTCAGATACAACTCAAATTATATCATAGTATCAGAACTCAAGTTAAGTTGAACTGAAAGCTTGACCAACGAATGAAGAGTTAGAGCCAACAACTACCTCAATCAACAGACATGATCCAACATATGGGCTTGACCGTGACGGGGAGTGTTGGAGTCTCACATTGACTAGGCACACTCAAACCTATTAGATTATAAGAGGGGGTAATCATCTAATTCAACAAAGCCTTATTGGGTAAAAAGTCAAACTCACCTCAAATTATATAAATCATATATGGAAGATAATTCGATAAAAAATGTACATTCTTTTAAAATTACAGAATGGCTCTCCATTTAGGTGAAGAGTTAAATCTTTACATGAAGATAAAAACATAGGGTGTACAATAATAACATTATATTGTCTTTGGTTAATTTACTTAGATTTAAACATCTACATCTTTGTAATTTCTCATTTTAGTTAGTCAAAATCCACCAGTCCTGTATAGGACTAGTGTTTGCATCATTATGAATACAACTATCAAGTGGATCTCACCACATATACACTAAGAAAGAAGAAATATAATCTACTATTTATGATCATCAATTGAATGAAAAAGAAAAAAAAAAAATTTACAAAACAGTTAAAAATAGAATGCATATTACATGTCCACTTTTATAAATGGGCATAAAAGTTGTACAATATGATACATATTTTGATATATCAGACGCACCTAAAAGATTTCATTGGGTACAAGACGATTAAAATAGATCATAATACATTTACATTTATATTATAAACATATATAAAAGGTAAATAATATGACATGTATTATGACATATTGCACACTAAACCTCTCCTCTTGTGATCGGGTGGCAAGTCTTTCAGTAACTGGGATTAGCTATACCCACGGATCTTGTATTCGAGTCACGAAGAGAGGCAAGTACTGAGTTTACCCAAAAATATATATTGCACACTACAAAGACAACTCGTTTTATAAATACCAACGAGTGTAGATCTCATGTGCTAATTACAACACTTTTCTTATATCAAAATACAAATCCTTATACGTCATTAGTTCTTGGTTAAATTCTGCGTCAAATCATTTGAAGAGAAGAAGTGTGGAGGATTTGACAGCGATGTCCTCTTTTGCATCGGTACTATAAACTAAGTTTTGCTTCATCTCTTCCAAGGGATTAGAGGCAGCAAGTTTAAGGCTCAGATCTGGTTCTTGAGAAGTTAAAGCATCTTGTTGATGAATCGATTTGACTGATTGTGGGCGCAGAATAGAAACGCTGTTAATTCGATGATTATCTGGATTGATTCCCATGCTCACTAGCTTTCTTCTCAGATGAGAGTTCCAATAATTTTTGACCTCATTGTCTGTCCTCCCCGGCAATCTTCCAGCTATAAGGGACCACCTGCAGTGCATCATCTTAATTTGTAAATTAAATCTTTTTGATGCATTTGTTCTTAATTTTAAGGAAGTATTATAATTAACAAGTTAATTAAGGTGACAAATTAAAAATAATTCACCTATTTCCCAAGAGAGCATGGAGCTTGACGATGAGATCCTCTTCATCTTCACCAAAGTTTCCTCTTTTGAGGTCTGGCCTTAGATAATTTATCCATCTTAATCGACAACTTTTCCCACAACGAAGCAAACCTAATTAATTAACCAATTTACAGAAAATATTATTGACCAAATCTCTGTCAATCTTTTGCTTTCTCAATACTACTTTCATGATCAGATAAAAAGTTTATGAAAGTTTATGTTAATATGTATTTCAATTATTTCATTGCATCCAACAAAGTCTTTTCTTTTTCTTCCTTTTACTGAATTTTCTCATTCCAAAGTGTTTGGAAAAGAAAAAAGATGATAAAAATGACTAAAACAAACATTCCAACTAAAATTACTGTCTTTTTCATTTTCTTTCTCTTTTTCTTTCCTTTGATTATATATAGAGATATATATAATATAATATATATGTACCTGCAGCTTGTGGAAGTGAGCGCCATTTACCTTCACCATGCTTAGTGACGTAGTCAATGAGCTTTCGGTCTTCTTCTTTGGACCAAGCCCCTTTATTCATGTCTTGTTTATCACAGCAAGGTTTTCTCATTGTAGTTTTGGGAAAGAATTGTAGGCCTAGCTGCAAGTGTGAGACTGTATGTAAGAAAAAGAGAGAGAGAGAGAGAGAGAGAGAAGAAGAAGAAGAATTAGAAGAAATGAAGAGAAAATGAATGAATGAACTAACCAGGTAGAGAGAGAGATGACAAATAAAGTTTACCCTATCTGCTTTCCTTGTAGCTTAATGCCCCACAGTTGACTTGGAATGGTGNAGCTTGACCAACGAATGAAGAGTTAGAGCCAACAACTACCTCAATCAACAGACATGATCCAACATATGGGCTTGACCGTGACGGGGAGTGTTGGAGTCTCACATTGACTAGGCACACTCAAACCTATTAGATTATAAGAGGGGGTAATCATCAAATTCAACAAAGCCTTATTGGGTAAAAAGTCAAACTCACCTCAAATTATATAAATCATATATGGAAGATAATTCGATAAAAAATGTACATTCTTTTAAAATTACAGAATGGCTCTCCATTTAGGTGAAGAGTTAAATCTTTACATGAAGATAAAAACATAGGGTGTACAATAATAACATTATATTGTCTTTGGTTAATTTACTTAGATTTAAACATCTACATCTTTGTAATTTCTCATTTTAGTTAGTCAAAATCCACCAGTCCTGTATAGGACTAGTGTTTGCATCATTATGAATACAACTATCAAGTGGATCTCACCACATATACACTAAGAAAGAAGAAATATAATCTACTATTTATGATCATCAATTGAATGAAAAAGAAAAAAAAAAAATTTACAAAACAGTTAAAAATAGAATGCATATTACATGTCCACTTTTATAAATGGGCATAAAAGTTGTACAATATGATACATATTTTGATATATCAGACGCACCTAAAAGATTTCATTGGGTACAAGACGATTAAAATAGATCATAATACATTTACATTTATATTATAAACATATATAAAAGGTAAATAATATGACATGTATTATGACATATTGCACACTAAACCTCTCCTCTTGTGATCGGGTGGCAAGTCTTTCAGTAACTGGGATTAGCTATACCCACGGATCTTGTATTCGAGTCACGAAGAGAGGCAAGTACTGAGTTTACCCAAAAATATATATTGCACACTACAAAGACAACTCGTTTTATAAATACCAACGAGTGTAGATCTCATGTGCTAATTACAACACTTTTCTTATATCAAAATACAAATCCTTATACGTCATTAGTTCTTGGTTAAATTCTGCGTCAAATCATTTGAAGAGAAGAAGTGTGGAGGATTTGACAGCGATGTCCTCTTTTGCATCGGTACTATAAACTAAGTTTTGCTTCATCTCTTCCAAGGGATTAGAGGCAGCAAGTTTAAGGCTCAGATCTGGTTCTTGAGAAGTTAAAGCATCTTGTTGATGAATCGATTTGACTGATTGTGGGCGCAGAATAGAAACGCTGTTAATTCGATGATTATCTGGATTGATTCCCATGCTCACTAGCTTTCTTCTCAGATGAGAGTTCCAATAATTTTTGACCTCATTGTCTGTCCTCCCCGGCAATCTTCCAGCTATAAGGGACCACCTGCAGTGCATCATCTTAATTTGTAAATTAAATCTTTTTGATGCATTTGTTCTTAATTTTAAGGAAGTATTATAATTAACAAGTTAATTAAGGTGACAAATTAAAAATAATTCACCTATTTCCCAAGAGAGCATGGAGCTTGACGATGAGATCCTCTTCATCTTCACCAAAGTTTCCTCTTTTGAGGTCTGGCCTTAGATAATTTATCCATCTTAATCGACAACTTTTCCCACAACGAAGCAAACCTAATTAATTAACCAATTTACAGAAAATATTATTGACCAAATCTCTGTCAATCTTTTGCTTTCTCAATACTACTTTCATGATCAGATAAAAAGTTTATGAAAGTTTATGTTAATATGTATTTCAATTATTTCATTGCATCCAACAAAGTCTTTTCTTTTTCTTCCTTTTACTGAATTTTCTCATTCCAAAGTGTTTGGAAAAGAAAAAAGATGATAACAATGACTAAAACAAACATTCCAACTAAAATTACTGTCTTTTTCATTTTCTTTCTCTTTTTCTTTCCTTTGATTATATATAGAGATATATATAATATAATATATATGTACCTGCAGCTTGTGGAAGTGAGCGCCATTTACCTTCACCATTCTTAGTGACGTAGTCAATGAGCTTTCGGTCTTCTTCTTTGGACCAAGCCCCTTTATTCATGTCTTGTTTATCACAGCAAGGTTTTCTCATTGTAGTTTTGGGAAAGAATTGTAGGCCTAGCTGCAAGTGTGAGACTGTATGTAAGAAAAAGAGAGAGAGAGAGAGAGAGAGAGAAGAAGAAGAAGAATTAGAAGAAATGAAGAGAAAATGAATGAATGAACTAACCAGGTAGAGAGAGAGATGACAAATAAAGTTTACCCTATCTGCTTTCCTTGTAGCTTAATGCCCCACAGTTGACTTGGAATGGTGGTTTTTTCTTGCTTTCAACTATATAATTATGTTTAGATGACTGCTTTTAGGGTAACGAGAAATTATATAACCCATATCATTTTATATTATTGGACAATAATAAATTGATCGTCAGATACGGAAACCAAACTCTATAAAAGTTGCATAAATTCAATCTCTAATGGAACCCAATTCACAAGAGGATCCCATCTAGGTAACTGATCATTGTCTACATTATGAATTTGGTTTAATTTGCTTCAATAATTTTACTTTTAACGAGGAAAATTACTGAATTTTTGGGATATAGTACGTCAGTTTGTTCTCACAGGATTTGAGGTTCAAATCTTTCGATGGGTAAAGATTGTGAAGTTTTAGACTTTTAGTGAATGGTTTCTTTCTTGTTTTTATACCAAAATATTGGGATTAAGGTGGAGCAATGACAGAGAATTTGTTAAGTAAAAGCTTACAGAATTAAGATAATAAAAAGAGTATTCACACTGCAGGCAAATTGCACTGGGTCGACCTCAAATAATAATGTTGCTTATCCGAATCTTTAATCTGTCTTTTGCTTCCCTCTTTTTATCCTTTTTGAGTTATAACCTGCGAAAAGTTTGATGCGACACTGGAAAACTCAATGATAGTTTCCGTGCATGGTGGACTCTACCATTGAGGAACAATGGTGACTAATCTTATAAAATACCTAGACAATTATCAGAGATTTAAGCGAGGTTTCTTTTACTGATTTACCATTGAGTTCTCCAATCATAATTTTAAGTTTAAACATGTCTTCAAGTCCGATATATATGAAATGATTCGGATACGAAATACTGTAACTTCATTTTCTGATAACGTTCATGAATAGCTTACCTTTCTCCTTATAAACTGAAGAAAACGGTAAATTTCACATCTGATTGATTTATTTCTTTGTAAAATTTCTGTATTTTTAGAAAGAGTGTTCTTAAATGCACCATAAGAACAGTCTCCAAGTACAGTTTAATATACAAAAATCTGGCTTCTCAATGACAGTTGTAGATAGAAACTGGGTTTTAAAAACAACATTTATTGGGTGTACATATACATATCCGCCAACCTTTTCAAAAAGTAAAGAAACTTGGATAGGATGGCAGATTTACCTAAAACTAAATTCATGCATGAAGTCTCCCCCATTCAACTTGAATGGTAGATGGAAACATGATATTTGACATTTTAGTAAGTCCCTTTCGCAACGTGTCGAGTTGCAATTGGCACGACGTAATTATCTGCTTGAGAACTGTTGAGTTTTTGTAAATGTCGAATCAATTGAAATAACTCCTATCCAACAATCTGATAGCTTCCATAAAATGTTGCAAAATTTGCTGTTGAATGTTTGGTTGTCACTGAACTTCCATGTGTGGAGGATGCATATGTGTATATATATATAGTCAGCAACCTTATCCATATATATGAAGACACTCTGATACATAGTCTAATTCGTCGAGAAAATTTTATTATGCAACTGAATCTTCCAGTCCATAAGGAATCTTTGATTGGGTTTTCTGATAGCTAATACACAGTAATTTGTCTTATATATATCCACTGATTTGTAGATGAAGGAAGCATATCTAGCTTCATGTGTATCTGGCCAATGAAAGAGTGACAAATGGAAGGTCCGATAACTAAGCGACATGAAATGAAATTCATCTTTACTTTGCAAATATTTTTGTGCACTGAATCGGTAAGATGAAGGCAGACAAGAATTTTATATGTTTTTGAGCGAAATTGAAATCTTATATATTAATGCCTGGAATGACCTTTTACACTTAATCCAAGCTTGCCCTTCATTTATTAATAAAGAGTAGATATTGATTTCTGACAGTGGAATAATTAGCATATCTAAACCATCATTAAATCGGATTTATCTTACATATAAACTACCAGTGTGAATGAAGGTTTACTTTTAACATATTTTTTAATATCCCCTTCCCACATAGAAGGTGTCTCCTGAAGCGGATCTGGATCCTTAACATCATTTTTTCAGATGAGTTAAAGGTTCAAGTCGGTAAGATACGCTCTAAACCTATAATTTGAGGTGGGTAAAAGGCAAATCTAAACACCATTAAATGTGGCGGATAAAGACTATTCATAAAGATTGTAATTCTCTAAACCCCGCTTAATAAGATTATCTTCAATGGTGCTCTTTATTTTAAAGAGTATCTTTTATATAAATGAAGAGCATCTCCATTAATTTTTAAATATAAAGAACAAATTTTTTATTCAAATCCAATTAACTCTTTAAATTAGACTTAATAAATAGAAGAGAGACTTAATAGGAAAGAGAATTAATAATAAAATGCATAAAAACTTATAATTTATTAAATAAAATTGAGATAGAAAGTGAAGTTTGACTCTCTAGATGTAGAGAGTCAAACTCACTCTTTAATTTATATTTAAAGAATAAAGAGTCTGTTGGACTTTTGTTTTTATGGATAAACTCTTTATAATAAAGAGTTTGGGTCATATAAAGAGTTTTTTGAAAATGCTTTAAGGTGGGTAAAAAATATTAATTAATGTTTCCACTTTACTTCTAAGTGAGTTATTGTTGGCTATATTGGGGAATGTATTTGTTATGCCTAAAAATAAAGGCCAACATATGCTGACGTCATCTCCACCAACTAGGGTTCAACAAACCTATCCACCATCCAGAACTTGACACATATCCAAAGGCAAAAGGAATATAGATGTCAAGACCTAAACTGCCTCAAGGATTTGTGCCTGAGTGAATTTGGTTCACACACCAATCCAAACCCCATTTAATTTAAGGATGTACATGAGAGTTCTCAACGAATGGAAAGGCAGGAAGAATCTTCACGACATTAGACCACTTGCAAAAAGTAATCATTATTGTTATGAGTTGCACCCTAATCTACACCTGATTTAACACAAAAATTGCAAGAATCACACAAGAAAGGTTTTACTATGGTTCGCCTTTCCAAGAACCGGAAAGACTACTTCCACGTTGAGCTCCTGAAATAGAGAAAGCTCACTGCACTATAACAAATCAGAGTGTATACAGATTACACAGATTAGATGAATCAAACCCGAGAAACCCTTAATCGCTCTTAATCCTGTAATCAACACCCTAGAGAGACTAATCCTGGAATCCCTAGCAACTGAGATATTACAAACCCTCCCTGAATGATTATCCCTAATCACTCAACACCAATTACAGAGATTTCGATTAAGATCAAGAATGAACCCTAATACTACTCTAAATTTCTTTCTCAAGAACAAACACTCGATCAATCTGTAGAGAGAGAGAGAACTCTACTTGCTTGTATACCGTTGAGCAAAACGGTTATAAATAGGTTGCTCCTTCTCATAAAATAGAGGTTAGACACACACAAATTACACAAAACAAATAGGAAACACACTAATAATAAAAAAATATTGACTTAAAATTCTCTTAGAACATAAACACTTGTAATTAATCTCATATTGCAAATCACGACCTCTTGCAAAATTGTGTAACGATAAGAAGAGAACACTTATATAAACAACCACAACGGATGTAGAAGTTACTTTTAAGCATCTGAACCACTATAAAAACTCTTTCATCACCTTTATTTTATGTATTTGCATGCTATTGTCATTACAGTACCTCACCCACTTACTATAATATACTCACATATGACTTTTTAGCATTTTATAGGTGCGAAGTCGGTGTCAAAATCAAGCATCAACAGTATTGAACCCAAATTAATCACATATTGTTCTTCAAAATGGATCCTTATATAATATGACAGTACCTACTTTAGATGTTATGTAGACATTGATATCTCATATTGAACTCATTAGCAACGTGGAATGAGATGGAATGAATCAAAACTTATCGTTAGCTATTAATGTTTCTAACAACCGAACATTGTTTCCTATATTTTGATCAAATGAAATGAGTAATTGATTTTCCCTCACACTAATAGAAGGGAAATGCAATTAATTTCATTTTTACACTGGGATTATCTATCCTTATTACAAATTAAGATCAGGCAAACCGCTAACTGCATAACTCTCAGGACCACTCATAGAATCCAAGACTGGATTGTTATCTTCTTCGGTTGCAGAGTTACATTTTTGGTTATCTGAAAGCAAGGATATGGCAGGACCAGTAGTGTGTCTTATACGATGAGTTTTGGGATCAATTCCCATTTGCATTAGTTTCCTTTTCAGATGAGTGTTCCAATAATTCTTCACTTCATTATCAGTTCTTCCCGGTAATCTTCCAGCTATCAGTGACCACCTGCAAAATTTTACACATTATTACTCGGATTTTATAAATAGTATTGGGTAGTTGAATAGGGTGATATTAGAGGTCAAATTAAAAAATAACAAAAAAACTCCTCTGTTGCTAATTTAACTAATCAACCAATATATAAAATTTTTATAAAATGAAAAAACACCCCCCACCCACCCACCGTACCAGATTCCAGCCATCACCGCTGAATTGGTCGGAATCTAGGTTAGGAGGCAGACATGTCGGATCCAAAGTGGATCTGGCGAAAAAGGCCATATCGACGAATTACCGACCAATTCCAATCATTTGTATGCCGTTGTGTAGATTTTGGCACCCAGCGTGTGGTTGCGGAATCTGGCAAATATGGGTGGATGAGGGTGTTTTATTAATTTTTAAACTTTTTTTGGGGTGTTTAATTAATTAATAAACTAAGCGGTCTAAAAGTAATAATAAAAATAATAGTATTTCGGATAATTAAACAAATAGATATTTTGAGAATAGGATTGGGAATAGGGTATGAAACTAATAAACCAAACGGACAATTTTTCAATTATGTAAACAAAAAATTAAATACTTTTGACTTCAAAATAATATTTCTTTTAAGAAAATATTTGGTAAGTGGACTAGACCTATTTCAATGGGATTAGCATTTGGACAGGATTATCTGTAGGTGTGTGTAGGGGTGTTCCAAAAAATGCAAAAAATCGAACCGAACTGAAAAACCGATTAACCGAAAAAATGGTTGGTTTAGTCGTTCAAAAAATTTTAAAAACGAATTTCTGGTTCGGTTGCCGGTTCGGGAAAAAATAAATGGGTTAACCGAAACTGGTTTTTGAACTGGTTTTAAAATATATTATATTAATATAAATAAAAATAAAATTATATATTAATAACAAATAAATAATATTATTATATATTATAATATTAAATAAAATAATAATATAGTTTTAATGTATTGTTAGTAGTGGTCAATGGATATATATGAATGTTTAATTTTTATTTAGATATGTATTATTTATATTTACAATTTAATTAGGAAAAAAAAAAAAATAAGTTTTATAAAAAAAAAAAAGGAAAAAACAGGTTAATCGAAAAATCGGTTTGGTTTCGGTTCGAGAATTTTCCCTAACCGAAAAAACTAATTCGATTCAAAAAAGCGGTTACGAAACTTTGAACACAACTCGTTGTTGTGCTATAATAAGGCGATTGCAGCAGGCACTTGTGCAATTGGCTGTACAAAAGTCCATACTCTTAAAAAGAATGTTAAGAAAGTTTAAAGGCTTTTTTCTTTTCTTTTTACATGCTTGTATTTTGGAAAAACTTTGAATGTTCATAGCGATTTACTATCTAAACTTTTAACTTTAAAATTACATTTTATTTTGTGTATACAAAGTGAGTGGGAGGAGATGTATTCACTCTTCCTTTCATCTCCTGCCACATTACTTTATACAAAAAACCTGTAAAGTTCTCAGTACATGTAGAATTACCCTTAATATTTATCCACGGACTAATATATAAGGTGTGGATGGATGAAATTGAACAAAAAGGGATAAAATTTACGTACTAAATCTATAAAAAAAAAATAAACGTAAGATTTCCTTTTGAATGGTCAACTTTAGACTGAATAATTTGTTATTAATTCTGAGGTGTTTAGGCATTTCAAAACATAAATACACTAAACACTAGTGTTAAGAGTTGATTAGAGACTAATTTGGGATTACAAAAAATAAATTAACATAATTTAGTAAAATAGGGTTTATGTTTCTAAAATATCGGACACCAGTAAGTATTATTAATTAAAAAAAAAACTGTTTTTACAAATAAATTTTTGGAAAAGTAGGAAACTAACAGTAAACACCCTCTAAAATGTTTTATATCGTTCATACTTTACATGGCTGTACGAAATTATTGGTACACTAATGCACTAGGGTCCGTTTGCCAATAGTCGAGTGGTGGTGGGGGCAACGCCCCCTTAATAGTAAGCCCAATTGTAATTGGATTTAGAATTGATTATTTAAATATTTGGACCTCGGTCATATTAGTCCAAATAGGGTTAGATTAGTCCAAATAGACTCTCTCTACTCCCAGTCCCAGATGCCATGCCAGACAATAACACTTGGTCATGAAACATCTTTAATGATTGCTCAACATCTATTCCAGTCCAGCTTTGGGTATACACCTAAGAACAGATCCAGAAATGTGCAAGTCTAAAAATATTATAAAGCTCAAAGCTTTTTAGGCCTACACAAAAACCATTACAAGTCTAATGAGTTTAGAGAATTCTCCGCTTCAAAAAAATTAGATGCCTATATTGATGGACTCCAGGAATTTTTAAAAATAAAAAATAAGGGGTCCGTTGTTTATAATTAGATAGATTTGAGAATATATGGGTAGTTGAATAGGAGAGTATACGAGATAAATTTAAAAATTTATAAAAAAACCTCCTAGGTTTGCTAATTTAATAAACACCCAAATATATAAAATTTTATAAAATAACGAAAACACCCCCACCACCGTAATGTCAAATTCGGGCCACCACCGTCGAAATCGGCGAAAATTGGTGTAACGATAAATACCAGGCGATCTGACGGGTATGGCGTCAATATGGCTTTTTTTGGCAAATGTGTCAGTCGACGATCGCAAAAGTCCATCAGTGACGATCAGATCTGGTGATTACCGGTCAGTTTGGGGTGGTTTAGGCCGTTATGGCAAATCTTGGCTACCACGACGGTAGTTGTCAGAATCTGGCAAGTATGGGTCAGTGGGGGTGTTTCTTAATTTTAAACTTTTTTTCTGGGGGTATTTATGAAATAATAAATTAAGTAGTTAAAAGTAATTAAAAAATATAGTAATATTCTCAAATAATGTACCAAAACATATTTTGGGATGGATTGGAAAATGGGTAGAAATGGAACCAAACAAGAATACATTTAAGTTGTATTATAGAGGGTGTTTGTCTAAACTTATAAGCTGGTCAAACTAGCTTATTAGCTCTAAATTAAGCTGACATGTGTTTATAGCTTTTTTTAGCTTATAAGTAAAAAAAAATAAGTTGGGGGGGGGAGGTACTTTTTTTTTTTTTTTTTTTGCTTATAAGCACTCTACTTATAAGTTAGTTTGACCAAGTATATTACTATATTATCCTTATTTAATTTTAAATTCCATAATATATCTTGTGTATATAGTACATTTTTTAGTATTTATAATAAAATGTACTATTATAAGCCACATTTTACCAAAACTGTAACAACTTATCAGTCACTTATAAGTAATTTAACCAACACGTAATGCTTAAAATTTCAAATGTTATAAGCTAAAATAACTATTAAGTACTTGTTGCTTATAAGCTAATTTTCATAAGCTCAGACAAACACCCCCTAAGTTATGTGATATTTTCATGACAAGGTTATAGCAATTGCCCATAAATAATATATCTCAACTAGAGTTTTAAGAGGTTAATATGGATTTCTTTACTCAAAAATTATTACAAATACATATGCACAAGTTATACAAGTATGACTGTCAGACGCGGCTTAACTCGTTTGAAGCTCGACTCGACACTTGTCGAGTTGTCGGCTCGAACTCGGTTTATAAATCGAGTTGAGTTCGATCATAGGGGGGCTCGGCTCGTGGACTTACGAGCCTAGGCTAGCTCGCGTAAGCAGGTGCTATTTTCGTGTTAAACTTTTGCCCAATCAAGCTTACCATACATCTCTTTGATGTGTGGTCCACATCTCAGCCGCTATTTTGTCGGAGGCAAACCGGTAGCCACTTCGGATGTTAAACAATTTCTAATCAAGATCTTACCAAAATATTACATCCCTTTTCGTAACGGTGTAGATGTGATTCAATTGTGTGGAGAAATCGAGCCATTAATGAATCCTTCTTTATCTTTTGATGAGAGCTCATCGAAAATCATGAACCCAAACAACATAATTGTCAGATCTTTTTAAGGGTTGTTTGACAAGAGCGATTTTTGGTCCATCGGAGGCCAATGCATACAAGGCGTCACCTGGTTAGGGCAGCGGTTGTTGGTTGGTAGAATCTGGAAATTGAACGGATGGTTTGGTAGGGATTTTGATTCAGATCATAACTTGAAAACGTAAAGGGTTGGATTGATTTGAAGGGTTGGGCCAGTTGTGTGTTGGAATTAAGACGGTTTGAGTTGTTGGGTTGGGCCGTTGGATTGGGGTTGGACCGGTTTGATCTGTTGGGGTTTGTTTAATGGTAGTGTTGTCAAGGGTAGCGATGGGATTGCGATTGGTGGGATGTTTGCCATCTGTTTGATGAAATAGGATATAAGGAAAAAAAAAAAAAAATGAGGGAAAACTAACAGAGTATATGTTTGCAATCCAGGGACAAAAAAAAGATGTTAGCTGAGCAGAATCGTGTTTATGAAGATCGCTCTGAACCATGTTGAACTTGAGTAGGCAAGAAACAAAAGAGAAATAAAGAGTTGACAGAAAGATTTTGTTCTTTTGTTATTGTATATTGTTTGTACTTTGCTTTAATTTATACTAAAATGTAAGTATAAGAATGGAATATAATGAAAGCAATTACAAAAATAATGAATGATTGATTTGGAATGATTATGCCAAGAATCAAGGCTGGAGTCAAGGATAATCATAGGATGTAATGAGGCTGTGATCAAGCCATAACCACAGCATTCTATTCCATCACATACCCTATGGTTCTCCAAGTTATCTCTCCGGTTCTTCTCCAACCACTTCGAAGTTTGGTGGTTCTAGCTTCACAAAAACTGCTTTGAGTTTCTCTCCCGTTGTATCTCAGATTTTCTTCTTTTTTGGTTGGGAAGAATACCAGGGTGGTGGTGGCCACTGAGTTTGAAGAAGGAGAAGGAAAGTCTCCCGTAGTCAAAGTGTTTCATCTCATATATATATAAACTTGAGGCTGACCTGATAAAATGTGTTGCAGTAGACCACAGGTTGGCGAAGATACTTAATTATTCATATTGCATATTACAATAGGAAAGTTGCTTATAGTTTTATCCATTAATGTCAGAAAATTCTTAATCACCCTTTGAGTTAAAAAATGCAAACCAATAGTTTAGAGAAAACACACTTAGGCCCCCATATTTGAGGAAAATAGACCTAGTAAACTTAATTGTGATGCTGACCGGACGGCTCCAAGAGCAATCCACGTAGTTTCTACTCTATGTGAGTGTATTGAATATAGTGGTGGGAATTATAATGAGAGTGTTTGAGTTTTTAAGCAATCTGTAATCAGTAAAGATAAACTTTGAGGCTGTTGGAAGA